TAGTATCTGGGAGTTTGTAGCACATGGAATGTCCCTGGGACGGGGGCGGGGGGCAGGGAGGGAGAAAAGGGGTAGGAAAAAGAGACTGTAATAAGAGCTGGAGATAGAAAGACAGGCAGTGGAAATGGTAAAGGTGGAGAAATCCACTGGTGGAAACTACTGAGAGAAACACCAGCAGTGTATCTAGGCCAGAGGATATTGTTTCATTTACTCCCAAGAGAAGAGGAGCCAGAGGAAGCACAGAGGGTATTGGGTGGATCTGTTGTCTCAGGTTCAACAGCCTTTAATGAGCAGATTAAGAAAAGTCAGGGGTGAGGGACAGAATCAGAGTTACAAAGAGACACAGCCAGATGGGTGCAAAGGGGTTACAGTACCAGAAATCAGGTGCCAGGTGACACATGCATGTTCTCTTGCTCTCTGTTTCTAGTTTGCTCTCTCCTCTTCTGCAAGTTGAGAGACTGAGGCTGTGGGGTTTTGCCTGGCTACAAACTATAGCAGAGGTTTCCCGTAAAAGACTTGTTCTTTGGGGATACTATTCTCCCTTCTTGCTGGGGACTTCACCCAGTCCATTTGGGACCTATAAGGAACATCTCCTCTGGAGTCCATAACAGCAGCACATGCACATGCTGAACCATTAATTAAGCCAGACTCCCAGACCAAGAGGAGAGAGATCACGGGAACCCCCTAGGAGGGTGAAGAGACCTTGGATTTCATAGCGGGTTGAAACAACCAGTTGGCTGGGCACAGAATGTCCCCAGTAAACACATGCCTAAGGTTCTATCTTACAGCCCTTCTCCGGAGCCAATGCACTGGCACAACATCATGACTGTGAGTAGGTGCCACCCACTAAAGGATTAATCAGAACTTGCTACATAGGAGTCTCCTGCCCCCAGGCCACTGCTCAGCCAACACGCATTGCTTGGATGTAGTAATACCTACATAATTAATACCCTTGTAGGGGTGGATTTCTGGGAGAACCAGTCTCCGCTTGGAGAATGCTCTAGGTTCCTCACCTGCTCCTGCCATTGAACTGAGTTTCTAAATAATCATTTATTTCTCTCTCTAACGTCATGGCCACGTTGGGGATTTGGCCCAGTGGCAGTCATCAGCGGCTGGCTCCTGATGTCGCTGCTCCAGCACACATCTGTGGTGTAGAAAAGGGAGGTTGCTATGAGCCATGATTTGCACCTGTGCAATTTACCCCGTTTCACGCAGGGATAAACTTCACTGATGCAAACTGTGACTTACATTGGCTTTGTCTGCTTCCACTAGGGGTTTGCACTAGTGCAGCCACACTGACGGCTAAAACCCCTAGTGTAGACAAAGCCCGATTCACCCCCAGACTTTTATTATTGCTTCAGCCACAACAGTCTGGCACAGCAGTATCCCTAGCTATGGCTCTGATTTCTCCATACGACATTTTTAGTATTATTATTTGTATAACCATAGCGACTAGGGGCCTCAGTCATGGACCAGCCCATAAGACCCCCTGGGCACTCTACAAACACATATAAGAACCCTGCTTGGCTGCCTGCTAGCTAAGGGGCAGACTGTAGAAGGAGACAGATCAAGAAACGCATTCCACTTTTTGTCTCATGGAGACTTTATATTTGTTCCTTCTTAGTGTGTTGTCTCCTTCAATCTAAAATAAAAGTCACTTAGCCAAAGGAAACCTGGTTCATAAGTATCTGTATGTGTAAAAATATAGAGTTTAGTTCACTTTGATTCACAGGGTCACAGTAGTAGTTATTCACTATTAGATTAAATTTACCCCTGTGCAGAGCGCTAGCACGGGGCCTATGCACCATCTGCATTCCACTTCAGCCTTCAAAACAGAGCTTATCTGAGATGAGAGTAGAGCAGAGGCCTCACTGGGATGAACCTTCCTTATTATTTGGACAACTTTGGGTCATGTGAATCCTGAGTGTCACTCATTTTAACACAAATGACTATTCATTCAAAACTGTATTCTGAATGTTCATATTTGTCCCTCATTATCCACCCGCTTTAAAAGTTTTAGTCATAAAACAAGGGTGGAGAAACAATACCATGTGACTTCCTGTGGGTGACCAATCGCACCACACAATCGGAAAATAGCAAACAGCAAAAGTGAACAGTTTGTGCACAATCAATAGGCTGCAATGGTTTGTGAAAACTCTGGTGAATGCGTACATCTAGCAAATACATTCACATGACTCAGTTCCTAACAAGCAGCAAATGCCTCTAACACTGTATGCACAGGACCCCACAACTTGATCACGACTGAAGTCTTTGAGTACCGCAGTAAAAGAAGTGCTTTATTAATAATCATAATCACCAAAAATGGAGCTAAATTCATAACAAACAGTTCATCCAGTTCTCCCTAAACTACAGGTTTCATCATCTGTGCATGGAAAGAACAGCGGCAAAAAGGACAGGGTTGATAGTATTTTAAAGAAGAAAGGAAGAAAAAAGAAGAAAAAGTAAAAAACCAGGCCTGTCTCAGCAGAGTCTGACTTGTGCTCTGACAAAGTTCCTCCAGCTGTAGCCCCCATAAGGAGCATCTAGCTTTGCTAAGCAAATGATTTAGAGCCAAGAGGAAAAAAGTACTAGGTTTATGTCAGAAGTTGGCTCAAACTCATTTCCTCTCCCAAAGGACCTCATGGCAACACAATATTAGGTGACACTGAATGTAACAAGATCATTAAAGGATTAGATTTTTATTCCCATAGCAAACGTGTCTTGGCTGAAAGATCATTTCCTAAGCCACAGATGACTCTGAAACAGCATCTGAACTTGCAGCAAGTTTAAAATACTCTAACTCTACAGTGTGTAAATCTGGAGATACATGTGAACAGCTGAGAGATCATTTTGAACATGGACTCATTAGCAACATCCTGTGAAACAAATTACTAAATGCTGCATGTGGAGGGGACATATCTTATGCAAGGACATTGGGTGAAATTCACCCGAGTACAGAAAAGCTGCACACAGCCTTCTAAACTCCTTATGTGACCATTAAGACTTAAGTGGTGTGTTGGTCTTGTCTAGATTCTCTACATTTGGTCAAATTCCACCCATGATGATGATTTTGGAAAGTACTGCGCTCAGCATGGAAAGGAACAAATGTCCACAGCCATCCAGGCCAATGGGGACACATCGGCTTACATTTGCAGATTCCATCTACAAAGTCATCCCACACACAGCCCCAGACAAGTCACCCATTGAAAACAGTATATAAAGCCGATCAC